AGAACCATGTTGCTGCAGAAATTCGTTTGGATTGACGGAGTTTGCGTTCTATGCCTGTTAGCGCACTCCTGCTTCCACTACAATACTAATAAATACATTAAATTATTAGCGATCCTCATTATTATTTACTACATACTGGTGCTGTGACTCCGATTATTATTTATAATATATACATCAACCAACAGCATTGGAGAGCCTTGAAGAACACACAGAAAAGAGCATTAGATGCTAGGTTTGATGCTATATACTTTATGCTGTAAGGGTTTACAATATATACATCCATTCTGATCATGGTACCCTAGCTAGAGTAGAGTTAATCAAAGCCGGTACTTAATACGAACAGATGTGTGGTCCTAGTCAAAGTAACATTTAGATTACAATTACTATATAGCATGTGCTTTAGCGGATTAAGGATTTTTATACTTTTTTATAATTACCCTATTTTTTTTTATAATTAATACTTTTTATTAAGAAAAAAAAAATAGGGTACAGAAATACCATGTTCTTATCTGGTGCCAAAATAAACATAAGGGCACATAACACACCCATAGTAATATCAATGGAACATGTCTCCAAGACAGAGTATATATAAGGCATAAATAAGGCAAAATTTCAGGAACCAGACGTTTTTTTGGCATTTTTTATATACTAAAAAAAATCTATGGAGTATTTTTCTAAACTTGCGGAACAGAAATGATTTGCTATGTTACAGAGAACATCTAGACATGGTAATTCTGCCTAAACAAGCACATTGTAAAACGTACCCTTTGTTATAAAATCTTCCCAAAAATAGCAGCGCGTGTTCTTGTAAGTGCGGGTGCATGGGCATTCCTGTTCTGTGTAGCTTCATTTCTGCAGTTGAGATCATCTAATGCACTGCTTCCTCTAACTTCAAGTCTTGGAGTGCGATTTAGTAAAGGCTGTACCCTGCTGGTCACAGTTCTCCTTGCTGGAGGCTCACAGATATCAGAAAAAAAAGCACTGCCTCTACCAAGATGGCCACCTTCACATATACACAGTACAGAACAAGTTTAGTAAATCACAGGTGACCAGTTCTTTGAGCCCTGCCTGCATTTTATTTGGGAGGAGTACAGTTTCTAGAGGTCAATTCTACTACAAACAACAAGTTCACAGACAAGTTAAGACCAGTCTAGGATGGTGCAATCCATTCATAAACATTCCCAACATACAAAAAATGTGGCTAGTCTACAACATACTGGGGACAGCGCTGCTTAGTCTCACAACAGTCAGTCTAAAAAAACAGAAGCAAAAGCAGTCACAAGCAGAGGTATCCCCTAGATTAGGTGAAATCTTAAACCAGGGGAGTAATGTTTTAGGGCTTCATCCTAAATATGATACTGAACTTAACCATGTATGTTGCATAATTAAATATTTAGAAGAATGTAGCCTAAAATAATTCAAGCCCTTGAATTTACACACACAAAAGACACAAAATGAAAGGGGTATGTTTTAATTACAAAACGTGTGCAAATTTGCTATAACATGTGAATTACACATAAAATAATAACATAACATACAAGAAACTCTCAACATTTTCCATTACAATTTGTGTTCGCACACTGAACGCGATATAATATTCTGCTCACATGAAAATGTTTAAAGCGGTTTAAATTCTATACCCTTCCCCTAAGGATGCAGGTACACAGCCCTGGAAGATAGAAATAGTTTAATATTTGAAGCCACATAAATCAGACGTGGCTCAATATAAAGAGGTTCTCCATGAATGGGTATTAAACTCACACAACTTAGGACTGGCTCTTCAACATTCTACAGCCCTTCTTAAAGGGACACTGTTACTATTTTAATTTAGCCTCTTATTTAGTATACATATTGTTCATAGAAAATAAACTTGTTCCAGATTTTAAAATGTTTGGTATTGCACTACAACTTGAGTTATATGTAGAAGAAAAAATATACTACATTTATCCATATCTAATTTATTTTCTTTACTGAGCAAAATCAAACTTCAAAGCTGCTGTAAAATTTAAAATACAGGACATCCTCCTGTTCACTTTATTGATTTAAATTCTACCCATCGCCCTGGTGCAATGGCAATTATTGTACCATGGTGACAGGTAGAATTACAAATATCATTGTGGTACTATTATTTATATATTTATTAAACAGACATTTTTTTTTAGTTATTAAACATTAACACTGGGCAGCTTATGGGTTTCGGTGGTTGTACACATGAAGGTGGTGTGAGCAGTGTATTTGGCTCTTGTGTCTTAAAAGTCCTCCATGAAGACTAGGGTTCATACAAGTGGGAGGGGACAGTGATCAGGAATGTTGAAGTGCCAAGGTAAAGCAGGTTGTCAGAGATAGGCAGTCATTAAAAACGAACATGGGGTACCCAGATTTGATTCACTATGAGGTCTAATAACATCATGGAAAAGCTCTTTAGAATGCATTTTTATATACTGTAAAAAAAGAAAAACAAAAAAAAAAACAAAAAACAGTAAAGTCCACAATGAACATCAAGTAGGCATTTTTTTTGCTATTCTTGCTGCTATAATGCTGACCTGATACAAGTGAAAACATAGTGTTATGATGCAGCATCTATTTTTCTTTCCTCTTTAAATAAATGGACATATATATGTATGAATCACACATTATCCACCTATGTGTCAGCTGGAGAATATGCTGGTAAAAAATATCTATCCATCTACAGTGCAGTCATTAGCGTGCCAGGGCAGGTATAACTTAAAGCTTGTCCCTAGAAAGAGAAGAAACAACCATTACAATATGTACAGAGGAGAATTGAAGAATACTACATGTTCCTGTATAATTTCCTGATTCACCTGCTACAACTATTCTACACAGCACACGCAAGTCTTACTAATCAAAAATACAATACACAAGCCCATCCTCTTGTAGGTATTGTACTGTATATGCAACCCAACCCCAACCAGAATTAAACTAGTATAATGCCCCTCTCTCAGGGATTAGGGGAAGGTAGCAGACGGAGTCCTCAGGGAGATTGTAATACACAATAAAGTCTCATATCGTAAAAATACACAAAGAGGAACACAGTTTTTTCACTGCTGCTAAAAAGCCTTCAATGCCTTTTATACTGTATTATCTTTTATTTATCCTTACACTTGTAATTACGCAATATAATAACGTGGTAATAACATTGCCCCTTTGCTATTACATGGTATTGCATCACAATTAATCAGCAGGCTAGTTGTGCCCTTTGATCTGCCTGCGTGATGTGCTCTCCTCACCCCTGACCTGCCTCCACATTTAAACATTGAGCTATTATTACGCCCTGCCACCAGCCCATTACTATGCATTGCTTTTGCCCGGTTGGCCTGCCCCCCCCCCCCCCCCCCCATATATTGGCAGTTTTTCCTCACTTGGGAGAGCTTGATGAAGGGGACTCCAAAACAAAACATACTGCTCCACCCCTTTTTGTGATGTCATTGCAACTGCACATACAGTGGGGAAAATAATTATTTTATCAACTGCAGATTTTGTAAGTTTGCCTACTTGCAAAGAAATGAAGGGTCTACAATATTTATCATATGTGTATTTTAAATGATAGAGACATAATTATCAGCCACAAATCCAGAAAAAAAAAACATGATACAAATGTTATAAATTGATCAGTGAGTAAAATAAGTATTTGATCCCCTATTAACCAACAATAATTCTGGCTCCCACAGACTGGCTATGTGCTCATGTGGTACACAGATTAGTCTTGTCAATTTAAGAAGGTGCTCCTAATGACTTGTTATGTGTATAAAAGACACCTGTCCACAGAATCAAAGCTCACCACCATGGGCAAGACCAAAGAGCTGTCAAAGGATGTCAGGGACAAGATTGTGGACCTGCACAAGACTGGAATGGGCTACAAGACAATCAGCAAAAAGTTTGGTTAGAAGGAGATAACCGTTGGAGTGATAATTCGCAAATGGAAGAAATACAAAATAACCATCGCCTCATGGGGTAAGGATGATCATGAGAAAAAAGTGAGGGAGCAGCCAAGAACTACACGGGAGGAGCTTGTGAAGGATTTCAAGGCAGTTGGGACCACAGTCACCAAACAAACCATTGGTAACACAATACACCGCCATAGATTGAAATCCTGCAGCGCCCGCAAGGTCCCCCTCAAAAAGGCACATGTACAGGCCTGTCTGCAGTTTGCCAATGAACATCTAAATGATTCAGAGAAGGATTGGGAGAAAATGCTGTGGGCTGGGGAATGGGTTGTGAGATGTGAGAGCTGGGGGAAATCTGTGCAGAGAGAACAGTGAAAGCGGGGTGGGGGTTTGGTTGTTAGTAGAGAGGAGAGCTGGGGGATTTGTGCAGAGAGAACTGGGAAAGTGTGTGTGGAGGGAGAGATTTTAGCAGAGAGGTTATAATGGGGGGGAGGTTTGTGCAGAGACGAAAACTGGGGGGGGGGGGGGGGGGGGGGGGGGGGGTTCGCATACAGGAGAACTGGGAAAGTGTATGTTTGGAGGGAAATTTATGCAGAGAAATGAGCTGGGAAAGTGGTGGGGAATTGTTCAGAGAAGAGAGCTTGGGGGAATTTTAGCAGAAAGAAGGGCTGAGGGTGGAAATTAGTGCTGAGAGGAGAGCTGGGAAGGGGGAAGCTTTTTGCAGAGGGCAGAAGACAGGTTGTGTAAAGTTAGAGATGGGGAGGGCAGGTTTTGCAAAATGAGAGCTGTGGAGGGTGGGACAGGTTGTGAGGGGAGAGCTGTGGGGGAACTTGGGGGTGCAGAGCTGAAACATGGGGGATGGCAAAAATGAGTGTTGGATTGGGGTGAGCTTCAGATGAGCATGCAGAAGTGGGATAGAGATAATGTGGATGGGAGTGCAGAGGAGAGTTGTGGACTGGGGATGTAACCTGTGGTTGGTGGGGTGCAGATGTTGAGTGGGGGGGTTCCTGCACCTATTCTGAGAAATAACAGCTATATATATATATATATATATATATATATATATATATATATATACATACATATACACACACACACATATACATACATACACACACTATATTGCCAAAAGTACAAATTTTTAGCTGGGGTGCCCAAACTTTCAATCCCCACTGTATATATATTATATATATATATATATATATATATATATATATATATATACATACATACATACACACACACATATATACGTACACATATACATACATACACACACATACTATATTGCCAAAAGTATTGGGCCGGCTGTCAAAATCATTGGATTCAGGTGTTCCAATCACCTCCATGGCCACAAGCACCTGGGCATACAGACTGCTTCTACAAACATTTGTGAAAGAATGGGTCGCTCTCAGGAGCTCAGTGACTTCAAGCATGGTACCATGACAGGCTGCCACCTGTGCAATAAGTCCATCCGTGAAATTTCTTTGCTACTAAATATTCCACGGTCAACTGTTAGTGGTATTATAACAAAGTGGAAGCAACTGGGAACAACAGCAACTCAGCCACCAAGTGACAGGCCACGTAAAATGACAGAGCGGGGTCAGCGTATGCTGAAGTGCACAGTGCGTAGAAGCCAACTGTCTGCAGAGTCAATAGGTAAAGACCTATCAACTTTGTGTGGCCTTCAGATTAGCACAACAGTGCATAGAGAGCTTCATGGAATGGGTTTCCATGGCCGAGCAGCTGCATCCAAGCCTTACATCACCAAGTGCAATGCAAAGCATTGGATGCAATGGTGTAAACAACGACGTCACTAGACTCTAGATCAGTGGAGACATGTTCTCTGGAGTGATGAATCACGCTTCTCTGTCTGGCAATCCGATGGATGTGTCTGGGTTTGGCAGTTGCCAGGAGAACAGTATTTGCCTGACTGCACTGAGCCAAGTGTAAAGTTTGCTGAAGGGGGGATTATGGTGTGGAGCTGTTTTTCAGGGGTTGGGCTTGGCCCCTTAGTTCCAGTGAAGGGAACTCTTAAGGCATCAGCATACCAAGACATTTTGGACAATTTCATGCTCCCAACTTCGTGGGAACAGTTTGAAGATGGCCCCTTCCTGTTCCAACAGAACTGCACACCAGTGCACAAAGCAAGGTCCATAAACACATAGATGAGCAACTTTGGGGTGGAGGAACTTGACTGAATTGCAGAGTCCTGACCTCAACCTGATAGAACACCTTTGGGATGAATTAGAGCGTAGACTGCAAGCCAGGCCTTCTCGTACGACATCAGTGCCTTACCTCACAAATGCGCTTCTGCAAGAATGGTCAAACATTCACATAGACCAGGGGTGGGCAAACTTTTTGACTTGAGGGCCGCAATGGGTTCATATATTGGACCCGGGGGCTGGACCAAGAGTAGATGAATGATGTGTATGTGTCATCCATAGTAAGTATAGTAATATTCCCCCATAGTAAGCATAGTAATTAATCCCCCATATAGTAATTCATCCCCCATAGTAATTCCTCCCCCATATAGTAATTCATCCCCCATAGAGTAATTCATCCCCCATAGAGTAATTCATCCCCCATAGAGTAATTCATCCCCCATAGAGTAATTCATCCCCCATATAGTAATTCATCCCCCATATAGTAATTCATCCCCCATAGTAATTCATCCCCCATATAGTAATTCATCCCCCATAGTAATTCATCCCCCCTATAGTAAGTCCCCCCTGTGTCAATTTACTTACCTTTGCTCCGCACGTTCCTCTCGCCGTGTTCCCGCGCCGTTCCGGTCTTCAGGGCGGACTGTGAGAGGAGCCTAGCTCCCCTCACGTTCGTCACGCTGCCCCGCCTACACACATCCTGACAGCCAATGTATCACGCTCCGCGGGCCGGATTAAAAGGTCCGCCGGGCCGTAGTTTGCCCATTGCTGACATAGACACTCCTAAACCTTGTGGACAGCCTTCCCAGAAGAGTTGAAGCTGTCATAGCTGCAAAGGGTGGGCCAACCCAATATTGAACCCTACGGACTAAGACTGGGATGCCATTAAAGTGTGTGTGTGTGTGTGCAGTGTTCATCTTTGTGTATGTGAATGCAATACTTCCCCTGTATCCTCACTATTTGTAGGCTTAGACAGTGGCACTTTCAGTCTCCCTTCCCTCTTTGCTTTACATACAAGGCTTACCTTCATAACTGCCCAGGTGTCTGGAGAATCTAATCTAAAAGACAGGAATCTCAAGACATTCTTACCTCGTCTACCCTCCTGATGTCTAAAGCAGGCTCCAGTTGAAGCCAAAAAACAACTGGCTTATTTCCAAGCTGCGAGCAATTTCCTCAATGATACAGTGTTGCTGCCACATGAGATGCAGTTTACGATATCGTTCGTGGGAGAGCCGCAAAGGATTTCCTCGTCTGGAGGTGCGACAATGAAGAGGTGGAAACAAAAAAAAAAAAAAAAAAGAAAGAAAAGAAAACTGCAAGACAAGTGTCTTAAACAATTTCTATTCCCTGTAAATTGTACAGATCACACATATCAATACTGCTAGAGCAAATTTGCAACTGACATCCACCTAAAGTCAAGTTATTATATCTTTCTTGCAGTGATGAAGTTCAAACAGGAATTAGTTCTGTTCTCATTGTATTTAAAGTGGTTCTAAAGCCCAACAACCCTCATCCCACCTTATACTTACCTGAGTCCTCACTCAATCAAACGATATGCCCATCTGAAGCAGCTCTCACAGACTTTGCTGAAGTAGCAGGAGCCAACAGCTCCTGTTGTGGTGTCAAAATCCTGTGACATGGGAGCAGGGGGCACATCCAAGCTGCACTGTCTGTGTCAATGGACTCAGGATTGCAAGGTTCAAGCACTGCTGATTGGTACTGTAGTGTTAACAAGGTGGGGAGGTGTGTTGGACTGCTGTATGAGCCTGGTGCCTTGGGCTTGTGGCTGGCGCTGGGGAGCAACAACAGAACAGAAAACAGACTTGGCAATTTTCATTTTATGAAGACTGTTAAAAGCTTCTGCCTTGGTTTAAACTGTATTACCACTTTTGCAGCCAAATTGAGATAACATATACTTTATATTTGTTACATGTCCCCATTCACATAGAATTGAAAAAAAAAACAAAACAAAAAAATAAACATTGTAGCTTACCTCTTTTAGCTGCTCTATTCTGGACGCTCCAACACTGTATAATCTGCTAGGTCTTTTAGTTTATGAGGAGGCTGGGGGAGTTCATGTTTGCCATAATCAACCCTGTCTGTACTGTGCAGGAAGATCGTCATTATCAAGTGTAACTAGATTTAAACAATGTCTGATCATACAAAAGGGTTAAAGGTGTAGGGGCTGGGCTTCTTGTTCTGTATGTTAATGAGGATAAACTAAAGACAGGTTCATTCTGATTTTGTTAAAAAAAAAATAAAATAAAGATATATATACAGACATGCTGTGTGAATGGGAACACACAAAGTGCAGTTTTCACAAATGTGACTGCAAAAGTGTAAATACCCTTCAGATTTAAACAAGCTGATAAGCCATGGATATGGTATGCAAAAGACTAAAAAACAACAATCGTACTGAATAATTTTCTTACAACATATACATTAACTGCTTCCCGGCCGCCCTATAGCAGATATAAGGCTACAGGGCGGCAGGGGTGTGCAAAAATCACGTATATATACATGATTTTGTGTTTCCGGGTAGGGGGAGCGTACGCGCCCTACCTGTGCCACAATTTGCGGCCGTAGCTGTCAGTCACCGAGTCCTGCCCAGTAATTCCCCGCCAGAGCCCGATGATTACCGAGCATCTCTGACAGGGAGGAGGACTGCTTTGTTTGCTAACAGTCCTTCTCCCTGTCAGCTTGGGCGCACTGTTCTGGATGGGTGTTCACGCACAGCACCCCCTATGTAAAATACTCCCTACACACAATTAACCCTTTGATCACCCATGTTAACCCCTTCCTGCCCAGTGCCATTAGTACAGTGTTGGTGCTTTTTTTTTAGCACTGATTACTGTATTGGTGTCACTGGGGATGTCAGTAACACCAAGTCAGTTTTTTAGCAGACATGTAGCAGAATATATTTTGGCGTAAATTTATGATGAAATTTTATTTTTAAAATTTTTTTACTGGACATGTTCAATAAAAAGTCAAAAATATTGTTTTTTTCCCTCAAAATTGTTGGTCTTTTTTTTTACTAGTGAAATAAAAAATATTAAATACCACCAAAAGAAAGCTCAATTTTTTAAAAAAAAAAAAAGGACATAAATTTAATTTAGGTGCAGCGTTGCATGACCATGCAAAAAATGGCCTGGTCAGGAAGGGAGGTAAATCCTCAGGAGGGAAAGTGGTTAACAGAATGGATGTTCTGACACTTTTGTAGTGTTTGTTCAACGTGTCATTGGAACTTCATTAAAATCTGGTTTTAGAACGTGGGAATAGCAGGTAATATATATAAGCAGCTCACTTTAGACCAGGGTCTGTTTCTCCATATTCATCCAGGTACGGAGCAGGATATATGCAGCCTCTGGTTTTCCCCTCAATAAGAACCACTTTACATTCTCTTATCCTAAAGAAACATAAAAGGCAATTCATGATTAACGACAATATAAAAGGCAAAATTAAATTAAATTAAAGGCAATATACTTCAGTAGATGTTTTTTTTTTTTTAACAGATGGACAATTCTGATACCAGCTATACTTTATCAGGGACACAATTAATAAAAATCAACCTATATTGTCCTAAGCAGTTCCTCCCTTGTTGCATTTCAGGCAGCAAAAAAGCTACTTCTAGTAGTGATAAAGTGATAACAATTAAAAGGCTAAGGCTGCCTATACCTTATACAATTTGCTTATTCAATTTATTCAATTTCAGCTATGTAGTGCAAGGGTCTGGCTGAAAGTACACAAACTGAATTTTTTTTAGGTTTGACATCATATGATATTGTTTTGATAAATTTAAAGGAAAAAAAGGGAAAGAAAATTGTATGGCCAGCCAAAGTTCACCTTTGGAACATGTTGCATCTGTATTTAAGATGCTTAATTTAAAGATATTTAATATTTAACATTAACCGCAATGCTCACCCCCCATTCTGATTCTCTCCCTGCAGCCGCTGTCACTTTTAAAAAAATGTTGCAACTCTGCCTGCACAGCCTTGTCATTCATTCACAGGAAGTCCTGTCAACCACCCCAGCAGACGGCTTGTAGCTTTCAATGGACAGTAAGGGCGCTGATGAGCGCCCTCTTAGTCTATGCACTTTTCCTGACAGCCTGTACAGACAGGCTCAGGGATGTAGAAGCCTGAAATTGCATCAGTGATCCACTGATCACAGGTACAGTGATTTGTAGGTTCCTGTGAAAAAGATAAATGTACATTCTTTTCCTGCAAAAATATGTGCTTTTTTTTGTTTTTTTTAACAAAAGTGAACTTTAAAGTGTAACTATACCCCAAAAGTTTTTTTCTGTTTTTTTCTTTTGGATACAGCAGGAAAAGGTTAGAATCCTTGTCAGGTTTTACCACTATCCAGGGATCTGTTGGGGATTTTCCTCACTTTCTGTTCTGGAGATTACCATTTACCAGACAGGAAGTAGGAGGAAATTTGCAACAGGAAAAATTACAACAATAAAACACTATTTAGGATTCTCCTATTTAGCGTGACAAATAAATTAAAAATAATACTTATTACCTCTGTCGGTGTTGCTGTTAGAGAGATTTCACTTACTTCCTGTCCTGGAAGCAACCATTTTACCCTTAGGAAGTGGATAAACCTCTCCAACTGAACCTCAACTGCAGCAATACTTAACTGCCGTAAAAGAAGAAAAAAATGTTTTGGGTATAGATGCAGTTTAACAGTTAGATTTCAGTAATTCTGACTTAAATTCTGAATTCTGGCAAAGTGTCAAGAAAAAATTCTTGCTGTTCTGGTTCAAGGAGTAGACACTATATTTATATGCTCATTTCTGTTCTGGAAAAAGTTATCTTCAGAACAGATTTCATGATGATCAAAACATACCCAGAAACAAAATCCATAACAGCTGTAAGATGATGTTATACTGGAATGCCAGGTTACAGATCAATTAAAACCACAATTGTTATTGGTAAGACTAAACCCCTCACTTGAGGAAAATGCAGATTCCAGCTCCGCAGCGTAGTGCATGTGTTGTACAAGCCCCCAGTTCCTCGCCATCTACCACCTCCTGGCAACAAGTGTTCTGAGAACAGAGGACAGCCCCGCACAGGAGGCACATCACTGGGTGTTTGCGTTCAGCAACCTGAGACTTCGGACATCTGAAATATGACAAACCAACAAATAAATTATTGTGCAAGCATCTGCTGTGGTTGAGTATATGTAAAGTTTAAAAATAAATTTCTGTTATCTATTTATTATTCAAAGCATTTTGTTACATCTGTTTGATAAGTAAAAAAATATATACATCTCTCTCTCTCTCTCTCTCTCTCTCTCTCTCTCTCTCTCTCTCTCTCTCTCTATATATATATATATATATATACCATATTTTCCGGTGTATAAAGACGACTGGGCGTATAAGACGACTGGGCGTATAAGACGACCCCCTACTTTTCCTGTTAAAATATAGGGTTTGAGCTATACTCGCCGTATAAGACTACCCCTCTTCCAACGCACACCAAATAAAAATGAAAAAACATCAGATTTGATTTCAATATGGTATGGTATTTCAGTATGGTATTCCAATGATGGGGTGCTATTCCTCCCACTGACACCAATGATGGTGCCCCATCATTGGTGTCAGTGGGAGGAATAGTGCCCCGTCATTGGTGTCAGTGGGAAGAATCGTGCCTCGTCATTGGTGTCAGTGGGAGGAATAATGTCCCATCATTGGTGTTAGAGCGACGAATCGTGCCCCATCATTGGTGTCAGAGCGACGAATTGTGCCCCATCATTGGTGTCAGAGCGACGAATCGTGCCCCATCATTGGTGTCAGTGAGAGGAATAGCACCTCATCATTGGTGTCAGTGGGAGGAATAGTGGCCCATCATTGGTATCAGTGGGGGGAATCGTGCCCAGTCATTGGTGTCAGTGGGAGGAATAGTGTCCCATCGTTGGTGTCAGTGGGGGGGGGAGGAATAGTGCCCCATCGTTGGTGTCAGTGGGGGGGGGGGGAATAGTGCCCCATCGTTGGTGTCAGTGGGGGGGGGAATAGTGCCCCATCGTTGGTGTCAGTGGGGGGGGGGAATAGTGCCCCATCGTTGGTGTCAGTGGGGGGGAGGAATGGTGCCCCATCGTTGGTGTCAGTGGGGGGGGGGGAATGGTGCCCCATCGTTGGTGTCAGTGGGGGGGGGAATGGTGCCCCATCGTTGGTGTCAGTGGGGGGGGGGAATGGTGCCCCATCGTTGGTGTCAGTGGGGGGGGGGGGAATGGTGCCCCATCGTTGGTGTCAGTGGGGGGGGGGGGGGAATGGTGCCCCATCGTTGGTGTCAGTGGGGGGGGGGGAATGGTGCCCCATCGTTGGTGTCAGTGGGAGGAATAGCACCCCATCATTGGTGTCAGTGGGAGGAATAGCGGCCCATCATTGGTATCAGTGGGGGGAATAGTGCCCCATCGTTGGTGTCAGTGGGGGGGGAGGAATAGTGCCCCATCGTTGGTGTCAGTGGGGGGGAGGAATAGTGCCCCATCGTTGGTGTCAGTGGGGGGGAGGAATAGTGCCCCATCGTTGGTGTCAGTGGGGGGGAGGAATAGTGCCCCATCGTTGGTGTCAGTGGGGGGGAGGAATAGTGCCCCATCGTTGGTGTCAGTGGGGGGGAGGAATAGTGCCCCATCGTTGGTGTCAGTGGGGGGGAGGAATAGTGCCCCATCGTTGGTGTCAGTGGGGGGGAGGAATGGTGCCCCATCGTTGGTGTCAGTGGGGGGGAGGAATTGGGGTCAGTGGAAGGAATAGTGCCCAGTCATTGTTGTCAGTGGGAGGAATAGTGTCCCAACATTGGTGTCAGTGGGAGGAATAGTACCCCATCATTGGTGTCAGTGGGAGGAATAGTACCCCATCATTGGTGTCAGTGGGGGGTGGAATAGTGCCCCATCGTTGGTGTCAGTGGGGGGGGGGGGGGGGAGGAATAGTGCCCCATTGTTGGTGTCAGTGGGGGGGGGGGAATAGTGCCCCATCGTTGGTGGTTTGCCACATTTCGTTATTTTGCAGCCTTATTCCAAAATAGATTCAATTCATTTTTTTACTCAACATTCTACGAACAATACCCCATAATGACAACGTGAAAAAGTTTGTTTTTAAATCTTTGCAATTATTAAAAATAAAAACCGAAAAAATCCACATGTACCTAACTATTGACAACCTTTGCTCAATACTTTGTTGAAGCACGTTTAACACCAATTACAGCCTCAAGTTGTTTTGAGTACGATGCTACAAGCTTGGCACATCTAGTTTTGGACATTCTCCCATTCTTTTTTGCAGTACCTCTCAAACTCCATCAGGTTGGATGGGGAGTGCCGATGCACAGCCATTTTTACATTTCTCCAGAGATGTTCAATCGGGTTCAAGTCTGGGCTCTGGCCAGACCACTCCAGGACATTCACAGAATTGGCCCGTAGCCACTCCTTTGTTATGTGGGCTGTGTGCTTAGGGTCGTTGTCCTGTTGAAAGATGAACTGTCACCCCAGTCTAAGGTCCAGAGTGCTCTGGAACAGGTTGTCATCAAGGATGTCTCTGTACATTGCTGCATTCATCTTTCCTTTGATCCTGACTAGTCTCCCAGTTCCTGCTGCCGAAAAACACCCCCACAGCACGATGCTGCCACCACCATGCTTCACTGTAGGGATGGTATTGACCAGATGGTGAGCGGTGCCTGGTTTCCTCCAGACATGACGCTTGGCATTCAGGCCAAAGAGTTCAATCGTTGTTTCATCAGACCAGAGTTTTGTTTCTCATGGTCTGAGTGTCCCTCAGGTCCCTTTAGGCAAACTCCACGCAGGTTGCCACTTGCCTTTTACTGAGGAGTGGCTTCTGTCTGGCATGCATGCCTGATTGGTGGAATGCTGGAGAGATGGTTGTTCTTCTGGAAGGTTCTCCACTCTCCACAGAGAAACGCTGGAGCTCTTTCAGAGTGCCCAGCGGGTGCTTGGTTATCTCCCTGGCTAAGGCCCTTCTCCCTTGATTGCTTATTTTCGCCAGGCAGCTCGCTCTAGTAAGATTCCTGGTGGTTCCAAACTTCTTCCATTTATGGATAATAGAGGCCACTGCGCTCATTGGGACCTTCAATGCTGCAGAAATGTTTCTGCACCATTCCCCAGACCTGTGCCTTGATACTATCCTGTCTCGGAGGTTTATGGACAATTCCTTGGACTTCATGGCTTGGTTTGTGCTCTGACATGCACTGTTAACTGTGGGACCTTATATAGACAGGTTTATGCCCTAATCATGTCCAATCAACTGAGTTGTAGCTGTAGCTGCTGAGTTTTAATAAAAACACACACTTACCTGTCCCAGGGTCCAGCGATGTTGTCACCCTTGTAGTCCCTTCTCCCCTCCACGGCGCTGGCATCTCAACTGTGGGCACCAGGCTGTGACAGCTTGTGGCTTCACAGCCGGGTGCTCACTGCGCATGCGCGAGTCGCGCTGTGCCTCCTAATTGGTCCGGCAGTCTCCTGGGTCCCCGTGAAAGTTCCCAGGAGACTGCGAGAGGGAGGAGGGGGCCAAACTTCCGGCTCACTTCGCCACAGTGAACTGAGCCAGAAGTGGGAACGGGTACCTGTCAAAAACAGGAGGCAAATAAGCGGAGCTTCCACTTTTGAGCGGAACTCCGCTTTAAAGTAATGTACTCACAGCAAACTTTACACAGCGACACATTAAACAGTAGATGCAAGGTTTGCACAATGCTCAAACATTCCACCATGTGATAACGTGACTGCTAAAGGCTCCGCACCTAATTTTCATACCGTGTTATATAGCCCTAATGCACTTCCTTGAAGTGAAAATGCTGCTTCTCCTAGATACAGTAAGGTTTTAACCCAAGGAGAGGAAGTGTGTTCTTGACAGGATTACCAGGTGAATATAAAGAAGAAAAAGTGTGAAAAAAATATGAATTCATCCACAACATTTAAGAAAAGTGAAGCTGCAATACATTCAATTTTTGTTCTTGGATTTAGATACACTTTAAGGGTCACACTGGGTGACCATTTGTGTCTAGCCTATGGAAAATGAGTCAGCAGCAGGATTCTCCAGCACCAGTGTATCAGTGTCAAATCAGTAATGATTCGAAAACATCTTCTGACCTGTCCAATCCAAATATCCCCAAGGTGTCTCTGGGTAGCTCATTCACCCATTTGGCCAAAAATAGTATGATCAGGAGATTCTTATCGAAGGTATCTAAGCACCTTTACATAACCTGTGCCAATAACAACTGAAACCAGCCTCCTGCTCCTGAGTTCCATTGCGCAGCGCTCTATTACAGCCTTTTTCAACCAGGGTGCCCAGGCACCCTGGGGTGCCTTTAGGTTTCTTCAGGGGTGCCTTGGGAAAATGCATAAAAGTTGCCCAAATATTGTATAAAAGCCAGCAGGTGTATTTAGCTTATTGTTTAGTTACACGAACCATGTTTTAATTGTGCACCATTACAACCTTTTAACTACTAGCATCCTAACAACCAACGATGTCATCAGCGGCTAAGAAGAAAGTCGGGCACCTGCATCATATCCTTGTTTGCTCCTCTCCATCAGCACCGGGGTCACATTAGGAGAGTGAGGGAGGAAATGGGGGAGAAGAGAGACATTGGAATGCTAGTCAGTACCAGTGTGCAAAGACATGTTTAGTTTTGAAGGATAAATCACCTCTAACGATGGGTGTCCTACGTGTGTGGATATTGCCAAGTTATTTAAAACTATTAGCTTAGTTTTTATATTTTAGATTGGGGTGCCTCAAGATTTTTCAGTAAAGACACTCTTTACAATTCTGCACAAAGGTTGAGAAACAATGCTCTAGTACCATAAAGTAAAAGGATGGTTATGGAATGCTCTGTAGGCTGCAGGTCCTGGTTGATGGCTGGTCACACAGGCAGGAACAACTGTCCTTACAGGCCTATGGACAAACTTATCTACATAGCCTTTGTCTCATGGCTGGGGAAAAAAAAAAAAAAGCATTTTCTAAACACCTCACATCTCACCTGAAATGGGAGGCCTGGTTCAGCAGGGAGCTGTAGTCTTCAGGCAGCTCTGTTAAAGTGTTGCGTTTCCTTGGATACCTATAATCACAGAGAGGGAAAAAAAAAATTATATTACAAATATATATATATATATATATATATATATATATATATATATACATATACACACACACACCCACATACATACATATATATATATATACACACACCCACACACACATATATATATATATATATATATATACACACACACCACAAAAAATTAAAGGAACACTTAATAATAAGAGAATAGCATCAAGTCAAACTCCTGGGATATTGGTCTGGTCAGTTAAGTAGCAGAGGAGATTGTTAATCAGTTGCAGCTGCTTTGGTGTTAATGAAAGTAGCAAAAGGTGCACTAGATGGGCAACAGTGAGAAGACCCCCAAAACAAGAACAGTTTTACAGGTGGAGGCCACTGACATTTTTTCCCTATTCATTTTATCTGACTGTTTTTTGCTAGTTTTGCATTTGGCTAGGGTCAGTGACACTACTGGTAGCATGAGGCAATACCTGGACCCTACAGAGGTTGCACAGCTAGTCCAACTCCTCCAGGATGGCACATCAATACGTGCCATTGCCAGAAGGTTTGCTGTGTCTTCCAGCACAGTCTCAAGAGCATGGAGGAGATTCTAGGAGACAGGCAGTTATTCTAGGAGAGCTGGACAGGGTCATAGGAGGTCCTTAACCCATCAGCAGGACCGGTATCTGCTCCTTTGTGCAAGGAAGAACAGGATGAGCACTGCCAGAGCCCTACAAAATTACCTCAAGCAGGCCATTGGTGTGTGTGTGTCTCTAACCAAACAATCAGAAGCAGACTTAATGAGGGTGGCCGGAGGGCCCGACGTCCTCTAGTGGGACCTGTGCTCACTGCCCGGCACCATAGAGCTTGATTGGCATTTGCCATTGAACACCAGAATTGGCAGGTCCGGCACTTGTGTGCTTTTCACAGGTGAGAGCAGGTTCACCCTGAGCACATGTGACAGACATGAAAGGGTCGGGAAAAGCCATGGAGAAAGTTATGCTGCCTGTAACATCGTTCAGCATGTCCGTTTTGGTGGTGGATCAATGATGGTCTGGGGAGGCATATCCATGGAGGGACACACAGACCTCTACAGGCTAGACAATGGCACCCTGACTGCCATTAGGTATTGGTATGAAATCCTTGGACCAGTTGTCAGACCCAACTCTGGTGCAGTGGGTCCTGGGTTCCTCCTGGTGCATGACAATGCCTGGCCTCATCTGGCAAGAGTATGCAAGCAGTTCCTGGAGGATGAAGGAATTGATACCATTGAATGGCCCCCACGCTCGCCTGACCTAAATCCAATAGAACACCTCTGGGATATCATGTTTTGGTCCATCCAAAGCTGCCAGGTTGCACCTCAGACTGTCCAGGAGCTCAGTGATGCCCTGGTCCAGATCTGGGAGGAAATACCCCAGGACACCATCCGTCGTCTCATTAAGAGCATGCCCCGACCTTGTCAGGCTTGCATACAAGCACGTGGCGGCCATACAAACTACCGAGTAACATTTTGAGTTGCTGCAATGAAATTTCAGCAAAATGGACTAGCCTGCTGCATCATTTATTCAATTTGATTTTCGGGGGTGTCTTTGAATTCAGTCCTCTGAAAGTTGATAATTTCCATTTCCATCAAATGATGGGGCATCTTTACATTCCTAACACATTACCCAGTCCATATCAGTATAGATATCCAGCATGATATTTTTTCACCCCTCCAAATCATTGGATTTAGGTGTTCCAATCACCTCCATGGCCACAAGTGTATAAAAAAGTACCTATGCATGTAGACTGCTTCTACAAATATTTGTGAAAGAATGGGTCACTCTCAGGAGCGCAGTGAATTCAAATATGGTACCATGATAAGTTGCCACCTGTGCAATAAGTCCATCTGTGAAATTTTCTTGCTACTAAATATTCCATGGTCAACTGTTAGTGGTATTATAACAAAGTGGAAGCAACTGGGAACAACAGTAACTCAGCCACGCACAGCGCGCAGAAGTCGCCAATTGTCTGCAGAGTCAATAGCTAAAGACCTCCAAACTTCATGTGGCCTTCAGATTAGCACAACAACAGTGCGTAGAGAGCTTCAAGGAATGGGTTTCCATGGCCGAGCAGCTGCATCCAAGCCTTACATCACTAAGTGCAGAGCAAAGCATCGGATGCAGTGGTGTAAAGCACATTACCACTGGACTCTAGAGAAGTGGACACATGTTCTCTGAAGTGGCGAATCACGTTTCTCTGTATGGCAATCCGATGGATGTGTCTGGGTTTGGCTCTTGCCAGGAGACCGGTACTTGCCGGACTTCATTGTGCCAACTGTAAAGTTTAATGGAGGGGGGGGGATTGTGGTGTGGGGTTGTTTTTCAGGGGTTGGGCTTGGCCCCTTAGATCCAGTGAATGGAACTCTGAAGGCGTCAGCATACCAAGACATTTTGGGAACTTTGTGGGAACAGTGTGGTGATAGCCCCTTTCTGTCCCAACATGACTGCGCACCCGTTCACAAAGCAAGGTTCATAAAGACATGGATGAGCAAGTTTGGGGTAAAGGAACTTAACTCTCCTGCACAGAGTCCTGACCTCAACCTGATAGCACACCTTTGGGATGAATTAGAGCGGAAACTGCGAGCCAGGGCTTCTCATCTGACATCAGTGCCTGACCTCACAAATGCGCTTCCGGAAGATTGGTTAAACATTCCCATAGACACACTCCTGCACCTTGTGGACAGCCTTCCCAGAAGAGTTGAAGCTGCAAAAGGGTGGGTCAACTCAATACCGAACCCTACAGTCTAAGACTTGGATGCCACTAAACTTCATGTGTGTGTAAAGGCAGGCGTCCCAATACTTTTGGCAATGTAGTGTGTGTGTGTATATATATCTGTATTTAAGGACAAGTTTTCCTGCTGTTCTCACAGGTAATGTATTAGGGGGTAATCTCACCTGAGTGCTGTTTTTTCACCAGTAAGGACACTCAAAACAGCTGGATCAGAGCACCACCTGGGAGGACAGACAGTGATGAGAGACACAAGTGAAAGCTGTACAAGGTTAATTATCCTAACTAAATCATCTCAGCTATTTTTCACAATTCAAGAAGATTAGAGTGGCACATTATATTGTGTTTCACCAAATAATTCCTTTTTGTAACAGTTAAATGTTCACAGCAATGCACACAATTTTGGTTTGGTGGAAGGTATATTTAAAATACTATTACAAAAATGCAATGGATAAACGTCACCTAATTCATACAAACTGAATAAAAGAAAAAAAAAGTGTCTGTTCTAGAATGATATAATTCCTCAGCTGACATTAAAGCCAAAATGTAAATGGTTGTTAAAGAGCATCACTGGAAGCCCAGTGAATTTTAAAGACAACTTGATTTATTAAGCGGACCTTTATATGTTTAAAGCTGAAATGCATATGTGGAAGATTTTTACCCTGCCAAAGGGAATATATATGTTTGTTCATCCATTCCTGAGGTTTACATAGCTCTGTCTTGTCTGACAGGGGAGGAGACTAGATTTCTCCCTGCTCTAGTTCTGTAACACCTACAGGCATTGTCCCTCTTTCACAATTTAACTGGACAATGAAAACAGAAGCAGCAGACTGAGCTCTTTGCGCTCTCTCCCTATCAGCATTTCCCTTATTAGTTAATTTGCATGCAGCACACCTGACTTGCATCTCCCTTTCTTAGTCTGGGCTCTGCTGTACAGGGGACTGCAGGAAGAAAATACCAGGTCAACTTCAGGTGCCTATATTTCTTGAATTCAAATTAATTACAATGGGTACAGAAAAGAATCGCCCCCCCCCCCTTTAAAATAATCACATTTTGTTGTTTTGCAGCCTGAAATGAAGACAGACACAGTTTTTGTTTGATACAGCTGTATTTACTCAGTGCGACTTATAACATCCAAGTGCAAGATATAACACCAAGTCAGAAATTAAAAAAAAAAAAAAAAAAAAATTAATTATTTTGCTGTAGCAGGGACTGAAACGTATCAGGATAGAAGGAAAAATGAATGGGTCAAAATACTGTCACATTCTTGAGGAAACTCTGCTGCCCTCAGCCAGAAAGTTGTCAGCGGCAAGAAGGTTTACCTTCCAACATGGCAATGACCCAAAGCACACAGCAAAAATGACCACACAGCATTTGAAGGAGAAAAAGGGGGATATCCTTGCATGTCCTAGTCAGAGTCCAGACGTAAATCCCATTGAAAACTGCAGTCCACAAACGGTCACCATCAAATTTAACTGAACGTGAGCAGTTCTGAAAAAGAGTGGACAAATACTGCAAAGTCTAGATGTGCAAAGTTAGTAGAGACTTATCCCAACAGACTAAAGGCTGTAATTAAAGCAAAAGGCTGTAATTAAAGCAAAAGGTGGTTCAGCAAAATACTGACATGACTTTTTTTTGACATGTTGGTGTTTTATCTCTCTTTCACTTGGATGTTAATACAGCTAGATAAAATCAAAACTTTGTCTTCAATTCTTTTTTCTACACACTGTTTATTGAAAAGTGTATTGTGTATTCACAAATGCAAAGCTGCATTCATTTATGTCTTTTATCTGCCTGACGTTCAGCTTTAAAATATATGTAAATCCTCATTTTTTTGTTTTGGACAGAGTAGAGATTTTTTTTTTTTCGCTGTCTGTCCCACAGAAGAGATTTTCCTTCACTTCCTGTCTTAGAGATTTCAGTAAAAGAAACGCTCTCTTATACAGTTATCACCATAACAAATGTCCCCACCAGAAATTCTCTCACTTCCTATTAATCCAACCACTCAAACTTTGGGCTTTTCCTTTACTTTCAGGACTGATGACAACTGTCACAAGAACAATTGGAGGGGATGCATCTCTCCAGCAGGAGATAACATTAAAATGAATTACTTAAAAGGTAGCATCAAAGATCTACACTCTAAAGTTATTTTGATCTATCCAAAACTATAGTGAATTTTACATCTATTTTTAAAGCAAACTAAGGAAATACAACCCCTGGCAAAAAGTATGGAATCACCACTCTTGGAAAATATTCGTTTACAATGGTGTTTATGGATAGTATCATTCCAACAAACAAACAAATCCAGAGTTAGAAATATACAATAAAGACTAAATAGACATGCAGTTCCTTGAATAAAACATGAAACGGAAAATGCACTGATTTACAGAAGTAAACAAAAGAAATGGTTAAGACATATATAAGTTAAGGATGTAAAACCATTTAAGATTTTGATTAGCATACGAAAGCCAATAGCTCATCCATACAAATCTTTGGTTAAACATGAAAACAACGTACAAAAGTGATATGTATGACCGTATAGAAAAAGGTGCTGATACAACAATTTTTCAGGCCCAGAGGAGGTCTAGCAGCTATAATGGCATAGCAATAGTCCAAAAAATAAGATCATAATAAGCTCAAATAAAAAATTAAAAAGAAAAAAAAGAGAAAGAAAATGAGGAAGGAGGGTCCCGGGGGATTCACGGCGCAGGGCCGCTAAAGCAACAGAAGGGTGTGATCTATTAAATCTGTAAATTGTGTAGAAAAAAAAAAAACAATCACAGACATGCCTCAAAATTATTTTCAGTTAACATTCCAACCTTCTGGCTTTAAGAAACACTTAAAAAAAAATAAAAAGTAAAGAAAACTAGTAAATTGCAACTGTTTTTGCAGATCAAGCAGAGGAAAAAAATATGCCCTGTAAACAGAATATGCACAACAAAACAAATGAACAAATGGGCAGAAACTAAAGTCAATGTCTGTGAGTGAACTGTAAGATACTGCCTAAAGGAAATGGGATTTACATGCAGAAAAGCCAAACAAAAGCCATCATTAACACCTAAACAGTCAACAATCATGGACTGTGGATGACTGGATGAAAGTGATATTCAGTAATGAATCACGAATCTGCATTAAGCAGGGGGTTGATGCTGGAACTTAGGTTTGGTGCCATTCCCATGAAATGTATAAAGATGACTGCCTGAAGAAAACATGCAAATTTCCACAATCATTGATGATATGGGGTTGCATGTCAGGCACAGGTACGGGGAAGATGACAGTCATTAAATCTTATTCCATCAATTGAAAGGAGGTTTGGTGATGATGACATAATTTTTCAGGATGAGAATGCATCTTGCCATAGGGCAAAAGCCATGAAAACTTTCCTTCATGAAAGACATATAATGTCAATGACGTGACCTGCAAATAGTCCGGACCTCAATCCAATTGAAAATCTATGGTGGAAATGAAAGAAAATGGTCCATGACATGGCTCCAACCTGCAAAACTGATCTGGCAACTGCAATAAAGAGAAAGTTGGTGCCCGACTAATGAAGAATTCAAGTGGTTATAAAAACCAGAGGTGGTACAACAAAGTAATAGTGGTGTACTATAGTAGTTTTTTTTTTCTTGATTCCATAATATTTTCCTCAGAATTGAGTGATTCCATATTATTTTCCTCTTTTTTAAGTTTTTTTTTAAACAATTAAACAATTGAATGAACATTTTCCAAGAGTGAAGATTCCATACTTTTTGTGAGGGGTTGTAGAAATATGGGAGCTGCTATTTTTTGCAGGCTCTCCAAGGTAGTTATTTGGACTTTGGCTTCAGTACCTAAGGAGTCACATTACTGGAACAAGCTTGAGTTTATCAGCATGTCCTATACTGCTGTGATTAAACAGTTTTCTTTCCCCCATATAAGTCAATGTGAATGCAAATGAAAGCAAGTAAGAACAATTAAAAAAATTCAAACGCATCTTAGATGTAAGCCAGTTTTCTTGAAAGCATGCTGCCTTTCACTTACTTTGGAGTCTGAAGTCTGCAATGCAATATGGATATATCCCTATGGACATATATACATACAGTATATGTAACAGAATAAGTCCGAGGGTGTGGATTCTGGAGTGGTGCAAGGCTGAGGCCATCTTACACATGTTAACGACATAGACTTGATTGGATTGAGCAGCGATTTTACTAAGTAAGCTACACACTACTGGACAGAGGAATTTTCAGCCAGCACCCCATTCTTAAGCACCAGCAGGACTATACACATTCTCCTTCTTTGCTTAGAGTGGCACTACAAGTATTAGCAGATCCGAGTTATTTTTATGATTGATATGCTTCAGATAGGGCGGTCTGATATTTAATGGGATTATTTAAACGTGTCCCTGCTCACTTACCTTCCCAGCACAGTGTCACTGTTTTGGGGTGTAATTCTAAGAATGCCTATGCTGTGTGTTAGAAACAACGTATTGACAGCAGTATGAAAACACACATTTTCCAAAAACCTTGTGGCAGAAAATGAGACATTCAGCGCATCTAGTTAGATGCGTTGGATAATCTACTTTGCAAAATGTGGTAGTTTTGTGGGTGTTTCACCTGTCCTGACACTCCAGGGCCTCAGGAAGTATGACAGAGTGCAGAAATCAGAGATTTTTTTTTTTTTTTTTATTTATGCCCATAGAAGCCTGAAGGTGCTTCTATGGATTTTGGGCCCCCCTCTATACGTCTAGGCAGCAAAAATGTCTCACATATGCAGTATTCCCATAGTCGGGAGGAGTAAAAGAATGTGTTTTGGGATGCAACTGTAAATATGTCCATGCTGTGTGTGAAAAACAACAAAATTACAACTCTATAAACTAAAATCACATTTTATTTACTTTCTTAATTTTCCAAAAAATGTTGCAAAAAATGACAACTTGAAAAAAGCTAACCATAATTCTTACTAATGCTTTGGACTCCCTATGTTTTACAAATAGGTCATTTTTGGGGGGATTGTACTGTCACTTTAGGCCCTCAAGAAATCAGATGGGCAATCAGTGCTGATGTATTTCAAATATGTAGAGTATGCCATAGTTTGTAAACTCTATAACTTTCACGCTAAATTTTTTTTTTTTTTAACCAAAGAAATGTAGCAAAAACATTTTGGCCTACATTTACAAAGAAAAATAAATAGCAAAGTTTTATAGCAGAAACTAAAAGGAAAAAAATGTATTTTTTTCCTTTATATAGCAAAAAATAAATAACCAAATAGTGTTTAAATTCCTCCAAAAGAAAGTTCCATAATGATATAAAACATATACAATGTTGTTAGTAAAATTGTAATTGTTAGTCAAAATATCACAGTGCTGTAAACTAAAAAAATGGCCCGGACAGGAAGGAGGTTTACCATGCTGGTGTTCAAGTGGTTAAAGGTTTCAAATCTCTTTCCTCAAGAGGGTACATATTAAATTCCTGCAGTCACTCCTGATAGGTTATATCCCTCAGGCCTTTCACAATATCCCACAGGCCTTTGCCCACCACTCATTCTGTCCTATTGCTATCTTTTTGTAAGCGAGATCTCTAGAACTGAACGTAGTATTCTAAATGAGATCTAGCCAAAGATCTATTATAGGGGAATCATGACCTCCTGCCGGTGATCGATAAAGTGAAGCACCGCAAAATTCTACTTGCTCCCCCCACTGCCTAGCTACACTCATGTTGCACTCATCTGCAATAAGCAGCTCCAGAGCTTTCCCCTCTATAGGTCTGGCTAGAAGTTTAATTTTAGGTTAGAAGCGCAATGATTATAGAATTCACATAAAGTTTAACAACATGGAAATAGTAAGCTATGTACCTCTGAACAAGTGGTTTCACAGTGTCCCAGTGTTCTTCAAAAAGTAGAAACAAATTGGTAGGTAAACAGAGGTAGCTGCACAAAGCCTCAAACTGCTCTTCAGGAACCACTGCAAAAAATGCAGTAGAATAGATTTAATGAAATATAGGATTATGGAATAGTATAAAACAGACATATTAGAAGCTATAAGAACTGATAATGCTATACAATTCATTTTCAATATTCAGAGCAAACTCATGCTATTTAACCACTTGCCGCCCGCCCACAGTACATTTATTAAGGGCAAGCAGCAGCTCCTTGCTAAGCAACGCACAAGTACTTCTTCTCAGCATATGCGCACTTGCAAGCCCCCTAGGGCACGCAATGGCACAATCCCCAGACCGCGGAGTGTGGTGGACACGGTGCTTGGTACCTTGCTGGTATCAAGTGATTGCAATGACAAATCATAGTGATGACATGTAAGCAAAACTGTCATGAATGGCTTATATTAATGACAGCTTGCTTACTATTGTGATGCTGTGATTGGCCCTCAGCTTTCACATGGTATCTGGCACCCTGTACCATGTGATTAGCTGTAGCCAATCACAGCATCACAATAGTAAGCAAGTTGTCATGAATGGAATTTATTCACAACATTTAAAACTATTGCTCATAACCGTGATCAACACTGTTCTAAGCAATAACAATATTAAAAAAAAAAAAATCCCTGATCACCACCCCAGAATTGTATAGTGTTACAATGACAGTATGTTTATTAAAAAAAAAAGAAAAAAAAGTAAAACAAGGAGTTAAAAAAAAATATATTTATTTAACATAAATCAGTATCCCTGATCACCACTACACCAAATATAGAACAATGCTGTACTGCAGTGGTGACAGTATGTATAAAAATTTTTTAGAAATAAATATTTGGGTTTTTTCAACATTTTCCAAAAAATTACAACTTTACAAAAACTCGCCATACTTATTACTAAACATTTGACTGTCTACTTTCCAAAAGTGGATCATCTGGGGGATATTTGTCCGGACCTGGCATTTTAGGGCCACAAGGAATAAGATGAGCAGTCACTACATCAGGATCAAATCGATTTTTAAATATATATACCCTAGTTTGTAAACTCTACAACTTTCACATGGACTAAATAATCTACACTGATTTGGAATATTGTTACCAAAGAAATGCAGCAGACTACATTTTGGCCTAAAATTTATAAAGAAAGATTATTTGTTTCCAAAATTTTATAACAGAAACTAGGTCAAGTGGTTAGTTCATTTTTAAATATTCAGAGCAAACTCACCCCATCCATTCATGTCCCATGCTTTATTTTGTTGAGAAACCACTTTGAAAAACACCTAGAATTTCCAGGATGGATTCCAGGAAGTAAATTCTACATGAATCATCTGCTCTTACTCAAGATGGCCGTAGCTAGAACTGCTAGGGGGTGTTTTCAAAGGGATTTCTCAAATAAAGCGTGGAGAAATGGATGGATAGGCGAGTTTTCTCTGAATATTAAAAATGAATTAAATAGCGTTTTCAGTACGTGGTGCTCTGATACAGCTAAGTTCTGCTTTAAATAAATGAAAGTGAGTGTAAATAAATTATATACTTACTTGCTCTGTGCAATGGTTTTGCCTAAAGCGGCCTAAAACTCCTCTTCTGAGGCTACCAAACAGTGCTCTCGGCTCCTCCTCCCTTCCATGTGCCCCCATAGCAAGCGGGCACAATCTTGAACCGGGCTGCAAGCGTCTATTGGCACACACAGAGCACTTAGATTCCTATATCTACCCTACCGGCGGCAGTGCTGCACAATTCACAGACTGAATGCCTCTGCTACAGGGTCCCCTGACCTCCTGATTTCTTATGCTTTACATGCCTCCACAAACTTAATTCATATGAGTTGGCAATTTGTTTTTATCATACAATAAATGTTTCAACTCTGTACTTAGATGGTTCCCTCCACTGTGTGTGTAAAATTGTGATGAACAGGCTCTGTGTGTGGGCATTCAGGTGGTTTTTTGTTCATGGACACTGATGAACAGAACCAAGGAGAATATGTTGTCTTCATAACTGGTGGTACAATGGGATCACTGCAAAACACAGCAAATTAATTCTACAGATTGGTACATATAATTTTTACCCTATTGGTGAGAACCATGACTGATGGCTTACCCAATGTCTGCAGCTCGTCAGGTGGCGTCACTCCCAGCAGGTAGTAGAAGAAAAGGGCAGCACAACGCAGGAAAGGGAGAATGCCTTTCTTTACGCAATCCCAGATATACCCGCCAGAAACATCAGCCGCAAGGCAACTGCAACAATGCATTTATAGAATATACCATGTCAAATAAGCTTTTCCCAAGTGTGCGATCATTTGCAAACAGGTGTTTGAACTCTATATGCACATAAAATGATTCAAAAGTAGAATTACTTCATTATTATTTATTAGAAGTATTTTCAGAAATGATTATTAACTTCTTTGTAGCAGCATGTCTACAGCTATGTGTACACATCTATATTCACTGAACTTCTAAAGGGACCCTGATAAGTTAAGTATTTGTGTGTAAAACACCATCTGGTGACAGCTCACGCTAGTCTATGAGCCCTACACATGAACAATTAATTTTGGGAAAGTGAAAAAACCTAACCAATCAACTTGGTTACCATCCAAATTAGCGGCACCAGCAGTATCTTTCACCACCCCACTTCTTTTCCCATTCCTCTTGTAACTGACAAACCGGAACATTTGGCAAAGTCTAATATTTGATGTTCTGGGGTGCTGGTACACCACCGGTGCTGGAGGACATAAAAAAACACAGATTATTCGTCAAGACACCCTTAAATCAGTGCCTTTTTGGGAACTTTTGGGGTGTGCACCAGAGGAATGTGATCAACGTTTTGCTGGGACAGCTGCAGTACTATATTATCTATAATCAGATAACAGAGACTCTGGTCATGTTATAATAGAGTCAGCTAAATGAACCCAACACCAAAGCTCTTATTATAAACTGATCTACAAAGGATAGTTTGGATGTTGAAGGTTTAGACCTGAACTGCACTGATCAAATGAGGGGGAAAGGGGTATATAAAAAACTTCTTTAACTGTTTTGCGTTTATGCACATTAATGTGTGTTGAATTAAGACAGCCAGTTTATTTAAAAGGTCTAAAAAACATAGAAAGTAAAAATCTGTGCTTTGGTATCAATATTGCCACAAGTTCTGATATCAAACATATATGTTGTAATAAAAAATAAAGTACTGCACTAAACAAATGCTCATTCATTCAAAGAGAACATAAAAATAATCAAACACAAAATGTGCACAGTGAAAACAAATCAAAATTGGTGTTAGTAGACCATAAACATGACAATCTGTGATCAGCCAAAAATTGTAAACAATTATATGTGCAAAATAATCAATCTGTGAACGATCTTAATTGGTACCATCTGTACCAAATCTCACTGTAGTCAAAAATCCACACATAATTGTACAATCATAAAATTTGTGATTAATCAACAAGTGCAGACAATCATATGTGCATTAAAAAGAAAAAGAAACCACCATAAACTTCACAATCCGTGGGCAATCTCAATCGGTACAAATTTGTTACAAATCGCACTGTGCTCTTAAAAGTCCACAAACAAGTGAATGACCATAAAAGGTGACTTCTATAAGATGATTCATGCCTCTAAAAAGATATCCAACCCTGAACATAGACAACCCAAGCAGCTTACCAAAATGATATGACCTTTTAAAACTGAGTAGTTAATAGCGCTTGTGGGAATAATCCTCAATGCCCAGGATCAGACTTGTTCTCTTAATATGGGAATATACTTACTGCCCAAAAGGTCTGCCTAATGCACCAAAACACAAATAAAAAGATGCATGTACTATTTCTGGCATATCCCACTGTCAAGGTGCACTGGGGTGCATGGCAATGCATCATACCACAGCATATCATGTGCAATGCGGCACGTTACCACAATTCAATAGCGTAAACAAGCCCTTACTTATCACCTCTATAGTTCTATCTGCTCCAGCAGAGTTTGTTTTTGCCCACTTTAACCTACACAAGTGAAACTGAACGGTTTCAAACGTGATAAAGGAATACATAATTGATCACTTCAACTGCTCTATAAAACCCATGATGGTATGTACCTTATTTAGTGCACAAGGGATGAAATATGGGATGTGCTGATCAGTACAGACTAAAAAGATTATATTTTTCTAAACAAGCTTTAAGATTCACTTACCCACTAGTAAGCTGTGATAAATCACGACATAAAGTGGCAGCACTAAGACCTTCTTCCCCATCACCCAAGGACACAGTTGGTACAGTGCCTGTTGACAAGACATCATATTTGAAAGGTTTACAAATGTGACACCTCTCTGTATGACAGAAGTGATATTTTTAGAAAATAATAAATATGATATAGAAGAATATAGGCTCTTTGGGTGGAGGAAGGCCATGCTGAATGTATCAAATAACTAACTCCTACAATTCAAGTTTCAGAAATTATAGCATTTTAGAACAGTTCTATACCTAGCATAGAAGTAGGTATAAAGTTCACTTACACACAAGTTTCTCTCAATATTTTGCACTAGGACTCCTGATAAACACTGTATTGAGGGGAGCACATGAAGGTCGACTTAAACATCCTAACATGCATCACATTTTAATAATACTTTCATGACATCTTTAATGAAACACATGCTTTGGGTGAAGTGCTCGGTAAAAGAACACCCCTTGTCTCATTTAAAAGCAAGCAACGCTCTAACAAAATGCAACCACTATTAACCAAGTTCACCTTTTGTAAAAAAAAAAAATAAAAAATTATAAATGCACATTTTTGGAGGTAAAATATGTGCATTTATAATATTTCTTTTACTCTGGGGCCTGTAAAGCACTACACCTGCGATAAACAGATTGCAGGTGCAATGCCAGGATCCTGCAGACTTCTCAGTCATGTGTCTGCCCATACTCTCTCGTATAGGCAGATAGTTGCTGAAGTCTAGAATAAATCAATGGACTGTGAGAATACTCAGTGCCCTTGCAGTTCACTGAGAACTACAAGCTGTCTGCTGCAATGGCAGATGGTAGTTGTATTTCAGTCATTTACAGGAAACTGTGGGCAGAACCTCGAACGGCTGTGCTGTTTTCGAATTGTGACAGCGGGTGTGGGGAGAAGGCCCCCCCACTGTTGTAATGATGGATCGTGGGGGGGGTGCAGGCAGCTGCTCTTTGGTAACATGTTACACCCTAAATACAGGTGTAACATGTAACCAAAAGTGTACTTCCCTTTAAGAGGAAGGGCAGGTAATGTGCAGTTGAAAGCCTGTTGCTACTGAACAGGTTACTTCTGGGGCACAGCTTACACATAGCAAAACACTGCAAGGCTGCATTATATGAGGAAGCTTAGGCTTTTATTTTACCAGCTCAACCATTTCCACACTTTTTAGTTTACAGGAAGAAAGTAAACCACTTTAAATACCACATTCTATGACATTATAACAAGTATTTACTTTTAAAAAGGGCTTTTGGACGGTTTTGTGGCTTAATTTATTTTACCTGCAGCAGATGTGAAAATGATTTGCACGATGTGGGCCATAGTAATAAGATGGAAGAGGTAGAGATGGTTGTATGCAGAGACCAGGGGTGAAGGATGAAGGTTCACACCTTCTTCCCAGTATAAAGATGGGAAGGCCAAAACCGACCCCACCTAAGATAAAGAAAAATAAAATGTCATCACATGAGCTGCAGAAAAAGAAAATCCTCGTACACATCATATAATCCCACTGAAAATTATCATAAATTATCCAATCCTTCTGACTGCTTCCTCATCATTCTGACCTCAGGAAAATATATTTAAAATAGTTAAATCCAGCTATTCATACAGTGAGTCTCGTCTTCTCCCCTGTATTTCAACTTCAAGAGATGAGAAAAACTAACCTATACCAATTGGGGCTACCCGAAAAATTTTCAAAAATGATGGTCTGCCTGTGACAATATATAAAGGATATTGCCTCTCAAAATCCTCCTATGTCCCCTCTTGTCAACTCTTTCCCCACACTGGGTGTTGGCCCTTTCAGGAGCACATCCTGCTCCGTTCATCCACTGTATTATTAAATCCAGGACAACACTCCAAACAGATCAATCAGATCCCTTAGTGATAAAGCATTCAGAATATTATTACCCGATGCACACGTTCCTGTAGCTATAGCTGTGTGTGAAAACAGGTGCTGCAGCAACTATCTGCTGGAAGTGAAGATAATGAGAGAATGTCACCAGCACACACCATGAATCTCCAAAATGGGTCCAAAGCTTTAATCGGCAATCATATCATTACAGCAAAAGCAATGTTTCAGATCCTCACAGGACCACTTCATCAGGCATGTGACCTAACAAGTGGCCAACATGTGGGGACTGTGGCTGAAGCCTGCTTCCTTACTAATGGACATTGATCTGTATGGAGTGCGGTCCTGGATTTAATATTGTTATGGTCTGCCTGGTTTCAAAGAGTTGACAATTTCCTGGGGCCTAGCCTGTTAGCCCCCTTTCCCTGCAGCTACTCTCCATTTGGTTAGTATATCTACACTATCTCTTGGGAGCCAAAACTCTAGGTGGAGAAGCAGAGGTTGGAAATGAATACACAGTAGACATTATATAGTGGGCTGCATATTAGGTTACAAGATTTGATGAGGTAGACATGATGCTTGATAGATTAAGGAGGAGACTATACCATTTACAGAACAGTATGATGACAACGCTTCTATCCGTATTGCATGTGTTGTACTAAATGTCCTGCTCGTGCTGCTTGTCCATTTTAAGTGCTGCAACCTTTTTTTGCTCCATGTTTTCCACTGTTAATAGGTCAATCTTTATTACAGTTTTAAAAGTATTTTATTTAACTCTTTCTCTGCCAAACATATTTTCAATAAGCAGAGAACCTGGAGAATAAAATGGTGGTCGTTGCAGTTTTTTTAGGATGTCGCACAATATTTGCATATCTGTTTATCAAATGCAAATTTAAAAAAACAAAAAAACAACCACACATTTAAATTTTATTTCACATAAACACAATATAATACCCAATTTTCTGGTAAAATAAAAAAGATGATGTTGCATTCAGTAAATACATACCATACATTTCAAGATTTAAAATTGCACATGCCACTGAAATGGAGACAAACTAGGGCACCTTAATTTGCCCATAGGTGACGCTTTAAAAGCCTTCACGGGTCAGTTTAAAGTTAATTGTGAATTAGGGCACAACACTCAGATCTGGCTGTAAATTTTAATACCAGGATCATGTCTGCAGCCATAATCCTGGTATAACTACTGTTTCCCTAGAACAGGGGTCTACAAGCTTTTCAAAGAAAGGGCCAGTATACTGTCCTTCAGACTTTAGGAGGGCCGGATTGGGGCCAGTGCGGACAGAAAATGTCCTGACCCCAGCATCAGTGAGAACAAACATGGCTTCAGGGTTGTTGGTCAGAAGGAGGAGGCAAAGTGCCCCACCATTGGTATTAGTGGGAAGAATAGTATACCAGCATTGGTTTCATGGGAAGAAGTACTGCCCCATTGTTGGTTTCAGGAAGGAATAGTGTCCCAAGGGCCTTATTTTCCACAGACTGCACTTTAAAAGCTTCTACAAGTCATTGATTTAGAGTTAAGTGTAAATAGTAGCCCTAGATTTACTGCTTTCATTCTGTGGCGATATGTAACATGCTTAGCGCAATAAACGGTTTCATGTTTAGGTGGCCCCCGACACATGCATTTATGTGTTCATACGTGCGTGTATATCAGGGGTGGGGCCCAAAGTGATTGGGAGGAATTTTAATTTCTCACACTTTTGAAAATGTGGTGACAGGTTCTCTTTATTAAACATCAGGGAGTCTAAAAGACCCCTGATGCCTTCCCTGTCCTCCAATGAAAATAATGTGCTGCAAATCAGATCTGCATTAGTTTTTTTTCCCCAGCCATACCAGAGAATGTGACATGGGGACGTTTTACAGGAGGAAAGACGTTTTACACATTGTTTCCAGGTTAGTAGCAGGAAGAGAAGACTGGTCTCTCTTTACGCAGCGGCACCTACCATGCTGGTCTTGGATCCAATGATGGGCAGGAGGACACACACACACTCCCGGCACCTGCCGGGACATAGGTCAGTGGCAGTAAACGGGTTATAGCATAATATTTGAAATCTGCCCCCACATGGCTCTTTGGGAGAGGAAAGCAAGAGCTGATTGTGAAGGTTGTAAATGGAAAATACCAAAACTTGTTTATCCTGCAACTGCACACCAGAGACAGTGGAGTAGCGTGGGGTTGTCAGCGCTCGGGGCAATGCAAGTAATTTGTGCCCCCTAACCCGTGGACATTTAGCACTCTCTGAGTCCAGTGTGTAGTGAGGACAGCCAGTCAGTGGGCAGTGAGAACGGCCAGTCAGTGGGCAGTGAGAACGGCCAGTCAGTGGGCAGTGAGAACGGCCAGTCAGTGGGCAGTGAGAACGGCCAGTCAGTGAGCAACGTGCGGCGGGAACGGCCAGTCAGTGAGCAACGTGCGGCGGGAACGAGCAGTCAGTGAGCAACGTGCGGCGGGAACGAGCAGTCAGTGAGCAACGTGCGGCGGGAACGAGCAGTCAGTGAGCAACGTGCGGCGGGAACGAGCAGTCAGTGAGCAACGTGCGGCGGGAACGAGCAGTCAGTGAGCAACGTGCGGCGGGAACGAGCAGTCAGTGAGCAACGTGCGGCGGGAACGAGCAGTCAGTGAGCAACGTGCGGCGGGAACGAGCAGTCAGTGAGCAACGTGCGGCGGGAACGGCCAGTCAGTGAGCAACGTGCGGTGGGAACGGCCAGTCAGTGAGCAACGTGCGGTGGGAACAGCCAGTCAGTGAGCAACGTGCGGTGGGAACAGCCAGTCAGTGAGCAGCGTGCGGCGAGGACAGTCAGTGAGCAGTGTGAACAGCCAGTCAGGGAGCAGTGTGAACAGTCAGGGAGCAGTGTGCAGTGTGAACAAACAGTCAACGAGCAGTGAGGACAGTCAGTGAGCAGTGTGAACAGCCAGTCAGTGAGGACAGTCAGTGAGCAGTGTGAACAGCCAGTCAGTGCACAGTGTGCAGCAAGGACAGTCTGTGAGCACTGCGCAGTGAGGGCAGCCACTCAGTGAGCAGTATGTTGTGGCGGACAGCCAGTCAGTGAGCAGTGAGTGTAAGGGTTGAAGCAGCACAGATGGCGCGTGGTGGGAACTCCTACAGTGATGAAGGTAGACCTTTCCCCATCAGCCAATTACCCCATGGCTGGAAGTAGAAGACTCCTGGGTTTCAATTTCTGCTCTGCCTCCTTCCCAGTTTCAGCTGCTTGATCAACCAAAGCAGCCACCTGTGAGTGTGTAGCAGGAAGAGATTGGCCACACCCCTGCCCCGTCCAACACCTCCTCAGCCCGATGTACTGGGAGATGCTGCACAGCTGACAGAGTCCCGTCCATTGCAAACTTCAGAATGCTATGTGTGGGGCATTAGAGGAACACTGCACCCGGGGGAGAAACTCAAAGGCAGACCTCGCCAGCCCTGTGACACAAATGGATGCAGAGATGGGGGTGAACCCAAGCACCCACCTACCGCTGTCCCTGGATTAGGGAGTGGCAAGGCACACCCCCTGCACATGTCTATGGTGAGTCCGCTCTCTCAATCTAGCATGAGCCCACTCTTTGTCATCCTGTGTGATTCACGCCGGATGACAGCAAGCTCACGCTGGATTGAGAGAGTGGGCTCACTCTGCCTGGATTACACACTGTGTGAGCCTGCTCTCTGTCATCCTGTGCCCCTATAAATATTGCGCCAGGGAGTGACCGCAGTGGCAGCCCCCCACCCTACGCCACAGACTGGGCCTCTCTCCACAGTTGTAGATGGAAGGTGTCCATCATATCTTTAGCGAAGGCATAAACAGTGATAGTTTAACAAAAAAAAAGTTACTGCTTTACCAAGTTTTTGTTAGTTGAGGATTTATTGTTAAATGGAACACATGAATGTTTAACTCCTAACTGCCTGAACTGAATCAAAAAAAGCAGAACAATTTGTTGCACTGGATCCCAAAACCAATATGCTGCCAAAATAGACTTCATTTCTTCTACAGTTCGAGAACAGATCAAATAATATTTTTTATTCTACACATTTCATCTAGAAACAAATACCAAACTCTGGCAAATTGTTATCCACTATGCATATTTGTTACTAATGTTTCGGTTTTCGCCTGATGCTCTCTTTTATTAGTAGCTATATAAGGCAGAAGATGCACATGGGGACTGCAAAGTAAAGAAATAAAAGAGACACTTACTAGGAGGTGGAACGCATCTAGAGACAGTAAGGATGGAGTTCCCTCAAGCTTTGAATTTGGCAGAAACACTGTTAGTATAGGTGAAAAAAGTAGTTAGAAATGTATCTCATTTTAAGAATGAGGACCCTAACAGCTGTTATACAAATAAATATAGTAAATTACGTCTGCAGGACTTGTGGCTATGAGTCTCAATACAATCATATTGCATAGTGCATGGCCAATCTCCTTTATATCTATGAAAACTATGTATTATGAGATCAAACAATGTAATTAGTATCAAATCAAGCTGGCCCTTGCACTACATAACTGATGATAGATCTAAAGGAGACTGTATAAATCAGACTGCATAGTGTATGGTTAGCTTAAAGTCACATGTTATGTGGGGGATACACTGTCACTTAGAAAAAGAAATGTATACTGGAAATGAAAAAAAAAAAAAAAATCCCCAAAAAATGCCCCAAAAAAAAACATTAAAATTATGCATTGATGCACTTTACATAAAAAAAAAACACAACAAAAAGGGAGCAAAGACCTAGTGCATCAACAAACAAAAATGTATTAAAACACAAATGACAAAAACATACTCCCGCACAGCCAGTGGCTAAAGGTGTTGAGAAAAACAAAGCCCAAGATATGGACATATTGCACAGAGACCTAGGAATCACGCAGATTCACATGCTGGCATATTTTGTAGGGACAATCCCTCTTCCTCAGAGCATCTTCGAGTTCCTCTGAGGAAGAGGGCTTGTCCTTCCAAATGCGACTGAGTGCAATATGTCCACATCTCGACCTGTCACTTGGGTTTTGCTTTTCTCAACACCTTTAGCCAGTGGCTGTTTGGGAGTATATTTCTGGCATTTGTCTTTTAATTAACTTTTATTTGGTAATGCACTAGGCCTCTGCGTCTTTTGCTATTTTTGTTCACAGAAAGATTTCCCCAGCATTGGTGACACGTCACCAGTGAATGAGTGTGATGATGTTCTTCTATGAAGACAAATCTCAATCTCTGAAATATCATAGTGCTATGGTGTTAACATTGTGGATTCCTCTGTTTAATTGATGCACTTTATGTTTTAATCACTTTTCTGACAGTCAAATATACACCATATTGCCAAAAGTATTAGGACACCCCTCCAAATCATTGGATTCAGGTGTTCCAATCATCTACATGGCCACAGGTATAAAATCAAGCACCTAGGCATGCAGACTGCTTCTACAAACATTTGTGAAAGAATGGGTCGCTCTCAGGAGCTCAGTGAATTCAAACATGGTACCGTGATAGATTGCCACCTGTGCAATAAGTTCAGCCGTGAAATCTCCTTGCTACTAAATGCTCCACCGTCAACGGTTAGTGATATTATAACAAAGTGGAAGCAACTGGGAACAGTAACCAGCCACAAAGTGGTAGGCCACGTAAAATGACAGAGTGGGGTGAGTGAATGCTGAAACGCACAGTGCCCAGAAGTTTCCAACTGTCTGCAGAGGCAATAGATAAAGACCACCAAATTTCATGTGGCCTTCACATTAGCACAACAGTGTGTAGAGATCTTTGAGGAATGGGTTTTCATGGCCAAAACAGCTGCAACCAAGCCTTACATCACCAAGTGCAATGAAAGGTTTTGGATGCAGTGGTGTAAAGCACGCCACCACTGGACTCTAGAGCAGTGGAGACGTGTTCTCTGGAGTGATGAATCATGTTTTTCTGTCTGGCATTCCAATGGCTGTGTCTGGGTTTAGCGGCTGCCAGGAGAACGGTACTTGCCTGACTGCATTGTGCCAAATGTAAAGTTTGGTGGCGGGGGGGATTATGGTTGTGTTTCAGGGGTTGGGCTTGGCCCCAGTGAAGGGAACTCTTAAGGTGTCTGTATACCAAGACATTTTGGACAATTTCATGCTCCCAACTTTGTGGCAACAGTTTGGAAATGGCCCCATCCTGTTCCAACATGACTGTGCACCAGCGCACAAAGCAAGGTCCATGAAGACATGGATGAGCGAGTTTGGGGTGGAGGAACCTGACTGGCCTGCGCAGAGTCCTGACCTCAACCCGATAGAACACCTTTGGGATGGATTAGAGCAAAGACTGCAAGCCAGCCATTCTCATTTGACATCAGTGCCTCACAAATGTGCTTCTGGAAGAATGGTCAAACATTCCCATAGACACACTCCTAAACCTTGTGGACAGCCTTCCCAGTAGAGTTGAAGCTGTTATAGCTGCAAAGGGTGGGCCAACTCACTATTGAACCCTATGGACTAAGACTGGGATGCCATTAAAGTTCAGGTAAAGGCAAGCATCCCAATACTTTTGGCAATATAGTTATTTCTTTATCTCACATTTCACACTATATTGTTGCAGTAAAGGTTTGGTAATAGCATTTGCACTATTTTTTACTATCAAGGTATTTAAAGTGCTGTAAAATGCTCCTGCTTCTAGTAATCCGGGGTTCCTAGATAACCTTTTCCCAATTCTGTAATTTTCTGCTAAAAAATTAAATCCCCTCCCTAATTTTTGCACACCGCTAATGAAGCCCGAAAGTAAAAAAAAATCTGCTCAACCACCAATACATTCCACAGAAATCACTACACATACAGTGCTGTGAAAGTATTTGCCCCTTCCTGATTTTTATTTTACGCATATTTGTCGCAACCTAAATGATTTGAATCATCACACAAATTTTATTACATAAAGATAAGCTGAGTATATACAAAATACAGTTTTTAAATGACGGTTTCATTTATTAACGGAAAAAAGCTGTCCAAACCTGCCCCACTCCTGCTAAATTATGAATGAACTGTGATTAACCAAATTTTTTGGAAAGTTGAGTTAAATTTCACTTGCCGCACCCAGGCTTGATTACTGCCAGACCTGTTGAATCACGAAATCACTTAAGTAGAAGCTGTCTGACTAAGCAAAGTGTGCTAAGAGATTTAAAAAAGCAACACATCATGCCACGATCTAAAGAAATTCAAGAACAAATGAGAAGCAAAGAAATAGAAATGGCTTTGCAACCCTTTCCAGACTGATACATGTCAAAGGCTTTGGGACTCCAGCTAACCATGGTGAGAGCCATTATTCACAAACAGAGAAAACTTGGAACAGTGATGAACATTCCCAGGGGTGGCCGGCCTACCAAAATTACTCCAAGAGACCAACGATGACTCATCCAGGAGGTCAAAAAAGAACCCAGAACCATCATCTACAGAACTGCAGGCATCACATGCTTCATTTGAGGTCAGTGTTCATGATTCAACAATAAGAAAGAGACTGGGAAAAAATGGCATCCATGGAAGAGTTCTAAGGTAAAAGCCACTGCTGATCAAAAAGAGGCTAATCTCACATTTGCCAAAAAACATTGTGATTACCCCCTTTTAGGCAAATATTCTGTGGGCTGATGAGACAAAAGTTGAACTTTTTGGAAGGTGTGCGTCCGATTACATATGGTGTAAAATGAACACGGCATTTCATTAAAAAGATCATCAAACCAACAGTCAAACACGCTGGTGGTAGTGTAATAGTCTGGAGCTGCTTTGCTGCTTCAGGACTTGGACACCTTGCCACAATTGATGGAACCATGAATTCTGCGCTCTATCAGAAAATCTGGAAGGAGAATGTCCAGCCATCAGTTCATGACCTCAAACTCAAGGGCACCTGGTTTATGCAGGACAATGATTCAAAACACACCCGCAAGTCCACCTCTGAATGGCTAAAAAAACATGAAATCTAAGGTTTTGGAGTGGCCTCTGAATGGCACAAAAAAAAAAAAAAAAAAAATTAAAACTAAGGTTTTGGAGTGGCCTAGTCAAAGTCCGGCCATAAATCCGATTGAGATGCTGTGGCATGACCTTAAACAGGTCATTCTTGCTCGAAATCCCTCTAATGTGATTGAATTAAAACAATTCTGGAAAGAAGAATGATCCAAAATTCCTCCACAGCGATGTGAAAGACTCCTTACCAGTTATGGTAAATGCGTGATTGCAGTTGTTGCCGCCAAGGGTGGCACAACCAGTTATTAGGTTTAGGGGCCAATTACTTTTTTACAAAAGGCTAGGCAGGTTTGGATAGCTTTTTTCCCTTAATAAAATTAAAATCTAATTTAAAAACTGAATTTTGCATTTATTCAGGTTATCTTTATGTAATATTAAAAATTGTTTGATGATCTGAATCAAAGTGTGAAAAATATGCAAAAAAAAAGCCAGGAAGGGGCAAAGACTTTTTCACATGACTGTAGGTAGTGCCTAGCAAGATGCTGGGGGCATGTCAAAAACTTTCTGAAAGTTTAAGTCAATCCAGCCAAAGTAAGGAAAATTACAAAACAGAATAAAATAAAATAAATTTGAGTGCACTTCAAAAGTGGCAGATTTTCTAATCAATTTACTTTTCATGCTAGTAATATACAGGCATTATTTAAACCATTTCCAAACAGTTTTCATTTGCAAAAATAAAATAAATAAAATGGATTAAGGCCACCTTTCAAGATCCTAGCGATGTTAATATTAGTGTCTAATCAGTTAGTGGTGGGTTAACTTCATTGATCTGCTCAATCATTTTTGCCATTAAAAGTTGGATGAAAATGCTAAAGGATTGTCACAGCCAGCATTATCGTGAAATGATCAATTTGTGGAGTTTAAACTTGAATCAAACATTATGGCACTAATAACTAGAAAACATTTTCTTCCTTTCTATAATGCTTCTCAAGTATTGTTTAATAATTACTATCCAAGGCAATTTAAACTTGAAAATGGCTTAACACTTTGTTCTACTTTTTCAATTTGTTGAAAAAGAAAAATGCATAAAATTGTACATGAAATATACACAATACCTGCCAGTATCTGCACAAGATGGCTCTGTATTGTGGGCTGGTGACATGTAACTCTTTGTGCCTCTGCAAACTTCACTAAAGCTTTAAGTCCAGCGTGCTAGGAAAAAATGACACCAAGACAATTATATAAGACAACACGTTAAAGTACTGTTAAGCATTATTTAGGAATAAAGATAGCAGCCTTTTCCAAACAGAATATATATTATTATATAGGATTTATATAGCGCCAACAGTTTGCGCAGTGCTTTACAAAATGAAGGTAGACATTACAGTTACAATACAATTTAGTACAAGTGGAAACAGAGGGCCCTGCTCATTAGAGCTTACAATCTATGAGCGAACATTTACTGGTTAGGGTAGTCCAGAGCTCCCTCAATTTAGTCTGCTTAAGTTTCACCTCTGAAGTTGGGACTAAAATATTACAACTGATGTCCAGGTATAGACTGTTTTTGCATAGTAATAATGGTCCAGCTTGGACCAAGGTAACTATGAATGTGCCATACCTGCCAATCCCCATGGAAACTGGAAAATCACTGTAGCAAGCCCTACTAATTCTGTGATTGCTGCTTGCTTCTAGGTCCTGTGTCAAGCAGCTGCAGATTTTATTTCCATTGCACCACACCCAAAGCACAATAAAAAATCATTGGTATAAATACATAGGAAGAAAGACAGGCACCTGGCTGCTGATAGTGTAGCTCAGTTTATTAGAAAGACATCAATATGCAATAAAATTCACTCACAAAAGTCCAATGTAACGGGCATGTAGTGACAGGAGGTGGAGCCACCGTGAGAAAGTTATGTACATGTAGTTGGCAAGCAAATTACCCGCTTTATTACCTTGTGTATAGTAAGCGGCTTTAAATCTTTTTTCTTCATGTTGAATTAGTAAATATGTTTTCTAAGGATTTGCCTACTAGTTTGCAGTTCATGTAGTATGTGAGGGGAAAAAAGACTGCTTATACTTAGACTCCAAACAGGTAATTTTATCTCAGATAATACCAGATTTCTACGCTTCTTTTCTTGTGAAGACAATTTAATCAGAATAACTCTACAATAAGCTTTATGGGCACACCATACATTAAACACACTAGTGTCCAGTGTAGTGTTCAGATGAAAAAATGATTTTAGATCCTTTTAGAGACAAGATCGAAGTGCAGGCCTAGCAAACATGGAGGTATTGTTGTGCCATAGAAACACTGGTGAAAATGTTAAAGTCTCCTCTATAAACAGGGATATAGGCGCATGATCCGAGCAGGTCATTGGATATATTTCTGCCGTAGAAATGTTTTGTAATAGCTGGAGATCCATTAGGAAGAAGTAAATTCGGGAGTACGATTTATGCGGTGCGGAATAGCAAGTGAAATCTTTTTCTGATGCATGAAGACATCGCCATGCATCGTATAAATTGGCTTCTTTCAAAAGAGGAGACAAAGAATGTCTCAAGCTATGTGAAGAACCCGAGACATCCAGAGACTTCTTGATAATGGCATTGAAGTGACCACAATATAATAGAAACTCTTTTTGGATCTTAGATATTTTCTTCCTCAGTGAATTTAGAAATGAAATTTGTTTCACATTGGGAGCCTTTTACACGATAGTATATTGAATATTATTTAGCTCACACACCATTATTAAATATCTGCCCTTCTGATCCGCCTCCACAGAGTGAAGTGAAAATCAGACTGAATGCTTTATCGCTATCAGAACTCCTTTCTTTTTTTCTTTGGTGTTCGCTGTGTACATATGAGGGAAAAGTCTGTGTGAGCATTGTGGTGCTTTAAGGGCAGTAAAATGGGTCTCCTGTACACAAATTATGTCCCCTTGCAGTTTCTGTGCTTCTTTCCAAATCATTTGCCGTTTGAAAGGGCTGTTAAGGCCATGAACATTCATAGAGACTATCTTCAGAACCATGGTGAACTTGAAAAAAAAAAAAAATTGAGGTGTATTGTCGCCATCTGTTGACCTAAAGATGAAATGCATTGTGTCAGTTGCTAGGCAGACGAAATTGCTGTTTCCAGATGTAGTCGCTGGTGACTGAAAAGCCCTTGAAGAGAGTTTCCACCGAAGAGATATAAGGAATACCTGAAAATTATCAGTTGTTGGTGCCCAGTTAGAAAAACTATTAAAGAAACATAAGGGTAACTAGAAAATAAACACAAACAGTTAAAAGCAGAATTGAGTAATCCAAATCACTACACTGTATTTGGGGTATACTCCGGTAAGCATAAAAAATAACTAGTTGAAAACAGTTCCGCTGCAAAATTGTTACAAAACACTTATTTTGCGCACTATAAGCATAAGATTACATCATGCAACAACTTGTTGCCATTCAGGGGTTATTTTTCTGTGGGAAGATATAGAAGGCACTTGTTCCCCATCAGTAGGTAGAATTCCCCATTTGCTAGGTAGTTGAAAGCCCTCTACCTCCGAGATGACCATAATCAGGTGGTTGTCCTTTGTGATTAGTAGCTTGGTGGGGAATCCCCATTGGTATATCAGGTTGTTGTTGCAGAGCAATTGCATAAAGGAGACTACCGTATTTTTCGCTCCATAAGATGCACCTGACCAGAAGACGCACCTAGGTTTAAGAGGCAGAAAACAGGAAAAAAAAATTCTGAACTAATGGACTGCAGACATAGTACAGGAGATGACCAGAGACTGCGGACACAGTACAGGAGATGACCAGAGACTGCGGACACAGTACAGGAGATGACCAGAGACTGCGGACACAGTACAGGAGATGACCAGAGACTGCGGACACAGTACAGGAGATGACCAGAGACTGCGGACACAGTACAGGAGATGACCAGAGACTGCGGACACAGTACAGGAGATGACCAGAGACTGCGGACATAGTACAGGAGATGACCAGAGACTGCGGACATAGTACAGGAGATGACCAGAGACTGCGGACATAGTACAGGAGATGACCAGAGACTGTGGACATAGTACAGGAGATGACCAGAGACTGCGGACAGTACAGGGATGACCAGAGACTGCGGACAGTACAGGAGATGACCAGAGACTGCGGACAGTACAGGAGATGACTGCTGACCTTTGGGGAGGGGGGGGGAGCGGGTACCTGAATTTGACAGGTACCAGCTCTTACTTTCGCGGAGTTGTTCTTTGACCTTACCTGTTCCTCTATCCAGCCGCGCGCTGTCTACCCGGCTTCTGTAGTGTGGGCGCTCGGCTTGACAGCCGGATGCCCAATGCGCATAAGCGAGAAGTGCTGCGCTTCGTGATTGGTCCGGCGGCTTATGGGATCTGTCGTGTCCCAGGTACCGCCTTACCATTCACAAAGAGCACAGCTTTTTGCGCATACGCACTTGGCACCCGGCTGTCAAGCACACTACAGAAGACAGCGCGCCGCTGGATAGAGGAACAGGTAAGGTCCCGCTGCAGAGCTGAGCGGCCGGCCCGGTTTTCTGACACAGCGGCGGTGGAAATACCGGACCGGCCGCTCCATAAGGCGCACTGACATTTTCCTCCCCTTTTTTGGGGGGAAAAAAGTGCGTCTTATGGAGCGAAAAATACGATAATTTTTTGTGGGCTAATATAGTGTGCTGGGAGAAATCAGTGAAAAGAGAAAGCCCGCTGTATGGAGCTGGAAGTGGATTGATTTTTCTTGCAAAGAGCATTAATTCTTCTTTTCACATGATAAAAATGAATTTTAGCAATAATATCCCTAGGTACATGGTCAGGGAGGAAGGAAGGTTTCGGTAGTGTATGCGCCCGATCTACAATCAAGTCTCTTTCCGGTGTATGTGTTAGCAATGTAGAGATCATTTGTTGTACATATCTTCTAAGATACGCAGCTGGAACAGTTTCTCCCACTCCTCTAAATTTGATATTGTTCCTACGTGAGAGGTCCTCCAGATCAGCAAACTTCATCTTTAGGGTCCTCAACTCCTCTTCTATATCATTATTGGCATCAACTAGCTCATTATAAGCAGTGGCAAACTCACCCATTTTAGATTCCACATGACCCATTCGTTCTCCCAGCGCCTCCATCTCTGCATTCACATTTGTCATAAAACTCATCATGTCCTTATATAAAGAACATTTGAGAGTAACCAGCATGTCTTTCATGACAGAGGTTGTTAAAGGAAGTTCCTCTGCAGAAAAATCTTCCAGGTGTTCTATGAATTCTCTAGTAGTATTATGAGAGAAGGAGTTATTAGATTGCTCACCTAATTGCTGTGTGTCTAGGGAGCATTGCTACTTGGTCTTCTGAGGACTGCTTGTCGGGGTGCTTTTTGTGGGTCCCTTGTGGCTGTGTTGTTGGGGAGAAGGAAGCTGTCTATTCTTCTCTTCCGGGAATTGTGAGGCCAGAGAACCGCTGGCGCCATCTTGAGGAGAGGAGACTCCCGCTGGAGTGAAGAACTCCGTCAATTTGCAGGGTCCCTCCTTTTGTTGCGCTTTCCCATTGGTCTGGAAGTGATCCCCACCATGTTGGAATACTGTATGGGGGTACAGAAGTAGCCATGGTTGCCATTGTGCTACATGCTGGGGTCCAGTGCACTCCTTTGCCTTTAAGAGGGGTGGCTCCCTCAGGTCCACCTGCCCTTGATCTATCCATTAAATGCATGTGCCTCTACTATGGGGACTCACAAATTTTAGAGTTAGGACCACAGATGATCAGGGTGCCGTGCGTGGCTCTGTGGCTTACGTATGTATTTGCAAATGTGTGCTAACTAAACCCCTGTTATAAACGCATACTGTTAGACAGGTTAATTCGGTTGTTAGCAAGCTGGCTGGCAAGTTGTCCAAGAACATTGTTCTCTCCCCCTTTTTTTCACTATGTGATGCCTGTTTATGTGTCCTTGCTTCATAAGCCAGTTATAGACTTGGGCGGGTGGCCACTTTTATGCATGTTTGAGTTTTTTGGTACGTGGGTGCACTAGGGCCCTGGTTGCCATTGTGCTACATGCTGGGGTCCAGTGCACTCCTTTGCCTTTAAGAGGGGTGGCTCCCTCAGGTCCACCTGCCCTTGATCTATCCATTAAATGCATGTGCCTCTACTATGGGGACTCACAAATTTTAGAGTTAGGACCACAGATGATCAGGGTGCCGTGTCGTGGCTCTGTGGCTTAC